TGGTATGGCTGGGTTATTAAATCCTGCCTTTATAGGATGATACAAGAAGGCTAATTATCTGATGGTTGTGGTATGGCTGGGTTATTAAATCCTGCCTTTATAGGATGATACAAGAAGGCTAATTATCTTATGGTTGTGGTATGGCTGGGTTATTAAATCATGCCTTTGAGAGATGATACAAGAAAACTAATTATCTGATGGTTATGGTATGGCTGGGTTATTAAATCATGCCTTTTCTTTATTTTTTACTAAAAAAGATTTCGGCAATATTCCTCATCTTGAACAGTTGCTAGATGGAAGCAAGATTAGACAAGATTAGCACATTAAATTCTGAACTTGTTTATAAATTATTGGGAAGTTTAAAGACTGCTAAAGCTCCTGAGCCAGACAATATTTACCAGAGAGTTTTGAAGGAGGTTAAGGATTGGATATGTAAAATACTTGCTACTATTTTGTTTAGTTCATGAATAGTGGGCAAGTGCCAGAAGATTGGAAGATGGTGAATGCTACTCTTCTTTTCAAAGGAGGTGATAAAATGTGTTCCAGTAATTATAGACCTGTTAGTCTTACATCAGTGGTAGGGGTAGTTTTTGAAAGTCTGGTAAAAAAAATGTTTTGCAAAGTAATTTAATAAAGATTAGAATTTTGTTGGATAGTTAGCATGGTACATGTGGTGTATCTGGATTTTCAGAAAGCATTTGACAAAGTACTACATAAAAGTCTGGTTAAAGTACTACATAAAAGTCTGGTTAAAGTATTACATAAAAGAACTGGTTAAAGTACTACATAAAAGTACTGGTTAAAGTACTACATAAAAGTCTGGTTAAAGTATTACATAAAAGTCTGGTTAAAGTACTACATAAAAGTCTGGTTAAAGTATTACATAAAAGAACTGGTTAAAGTACTACATAAAAGAACTGGTTAAAGTACTACATAAAAGTCTGGTTATAGTACTGCATAAAAGTACTGGTTAAAGTACTACATAAAAGTCTGGTTAAAGTACTACATAAAAGTCTGGTTAAAGTACTGCATAAAAGTACTGGTTAAAGTACTACATAAAAGTCTGGTTAAAAAAGTTATCTCTATAGGTGGGGGGTAGATCGGCTCATTGCATAGAAAACTGGCTAGATGGAAGAAAGTAGAGGGTTGTTACAAATGAAGTTCAGTCAAAATAGATTAATGTTACAAGTGGATTACCTAAACTGGATTAATGTTACAAGTGGGTTACCTAAATTGCATTAATGTTACAAGTGGGTTACCTTAGGGCTCAGTGTTAAGAACTTTGCCCTTTTGATTTCTACCAATGATATAGATGAAGGAATAGTCAATAGCTTATTTAAATTTGCTGATGACATTTAAAGTTTTGGGTGTTGCTAGCTGTGAGGAGAATGCTACTGCTTTGCAAAAGGATTTGGATTATTTAGGTGAGATGGCAGATGGCTTTTGTAATAAATACAAGATAATGCATGTGGGATATCACAATTTAAATTATGAGTGTAATTATGACAGATATATCCTTAAGAGTGTTATGGAAGAAACAAATCTTGGTATTCAGGTTCATCAGTCTC